AAGGTTTTGGAAAATGCTTTCTTTTAAGATAGGCATCACCTCTGAAGGACATCACATCGGTCTGAATCGCTGGGTAAGCCTTGCATTGCACTATAGGTCAGTCTGCTCAAGTGGAAGGTCAAAACAGGATTGTGCCTATCAAATGAGAAAAGGGAAGCTACTCAAGCAGCTTTTCTCATTTATTTGTGTGAGTCTGCATAACCTGGCCTGACTTTGAGCTGGTCATGAGAGGAAAAAAAAAAACCCCAACAACAACCCAACAACTAAAAAATGGTTGAATTGCTGATTTTTTGTCTGGTGGAAGAAAAAGATGAATTTTGTTATACGTAATATGACAAGGCAATAAAACCCACAAATTATGGAATTATTTGCCTTCTGGCAGTAATGTAAGCAAAGCATTCCCAGAATGAAAGCAAAATTTGAAAAGAAAGCACTTTCACCCAATAGAAAAGCCAAGGACAACCTCTCTGTTTGACCCCCATACTATCAAGGAGGAAGGTGAAGTCAGTGGCTCAATGGCTACCAGGCAAGGTAGAGGAATCTGAGTCTTTCTTTTGGATATACAAACTACTTCCCACCCCCCCCACCCCCCAAAATGAGAAAAGCTCTTGAGGTTGCAGATTACCATCTCAACTTTTCTTAAAGTTGTTTAGTTCTTGCATTTATATGTTTGCTTAGAGCAAGAACTTGAAGTACATGTTTTGAACAGTCATACCTTCTTAGCACACCGTGTAACCAGTTTTTTTTTTTTTAGGCAATTGGGATTGACTTGCCCAAGGTCACACAGCTAGCGTCAAGTGTTTCACCTGAGGGCAGATTTGAACTCAGCCCTGACTCCAGGGCTGGTGCGCTATCCACTGTGACCCCTAGCTGCCCCATGTAGCCAGTTTTGAAATCATCCCTGGGGCATACAGTGCTGGGAGTCTTGAGGCCATTGTTCAAAGCCCCTGCCACGGGATCTTGGGTAAGTCCAGTAATCCCTCTGAGTCTCATTTTTCTTATCTATAAAATGACAAATTGTTAGGAAAAGACAGGTCTTGGGCTTCTTGTAGTTCTGACATTCAATTGATGGATCCATCAATTAACAAGGATTTATTAAATATCTCTTATGTGCCAGAGAATGAAACAATCCCTACTCCCTAAGCATCTTACGTTCTAGTGGGGAGACAACAAATACATATAAATATATGTACAGCTTAAGTTTCAACTGATTAAATACATACATGTACACATATATTACATTTAATAAATAAATTACATGAAATACATTTATACATACAAATAAATTATATTTAATAAATATATTACATTAAATGCATTTATACACACAAATAAATTACATTTAATAAATGAATTGCATTAAGTACAAATATGCAGTACATACAAACTAGGTAAACACAAAATGGTTTGGGAGGGAAGGCAATAGTGGGGACAATCAGGGGAGGCTTCATGTGGCAGATGGTGCTTGAGTGGTGTCTTAAAGGAAGAGAGGGAGACTCTCTGCCTCTGAGACAGAGGAAAGGATGGAGTGTATTCCAGGAACGTGGGATAGCAAAGGAGATGGAGTATGCATGTGCGGGGAGACACACACACACACAAACACACACACACATCGGGGGGGGAGGAGAGAGAGAGAGAGAGAGAGAGAAGAGAGAGAGAGAGAGAGAGGAGAGAGAGAGAGAGAGAGAGGAGAAGAAGAAGGAGGAGGAGGAGGAGGAGGATGGGACTGAGTGAACATGTAGAGTGATTGGCCTTGGCAAGAATGGCCACCTCTGTGACAGAGACTGGGTGATGATGTCAAGGGAGGTTTTTGAGATGAAGAGAATGGGAGAAGGAGTTCATATAGAATGGTCTTAATTTTCTCTTAAAGCAAGAAGTAAAGCCCTCAATTAAATGGAGAGAGGAGGTGGGTGGGAGGCTTGAGAAATGAAGAAAGGGTTTAGAATTGCTTCTGTGGATAGTAAGATAGGGAATTAATTAGAGAGGAACAAAAAGATTACATCGCTGCAGTGAGGGCCAATTCTGGTTGGATAGTGAATTTGTAAGGTACCCAGGCGCCATGCTGTGAGACTTCTCCCTACTATGCTCTTGAGTAGGAGCAGAGGTGGCAGGCAGCAAGAATAATTGAGGGCTGATATTTAGTAAGAGATGGGCAGTGATAAGAAGAAGGAGCAAGGATGTCTAGAGCAGAGGGCAGTGCTGAGTGTTAATGGCAAACAATTGGTTTGAGATTGGAGAGGGAGATAAGTGAAGTCAGGGCAGGAGTACTGAATCACCTGAGAAAGTATTGCGTATTGGAGGGAGCAGAGATCTCCATGAAGGTGAAAAATAGGTATGGGATGGGTGAGGCCTAGGGAGAGGTAGAATGACATAGGAGGTTCTGATCGACTAGAGGAATATCAGAATTTCTAATTAGGGAAGTGGAACACTTATCAGTGATGAGGAAACCTAGTGTGTGACCATCTGGGGATGGCTGAGGCGAAGAAATACACATGAGATTTAATGAGGCTGAGTAACTGGAAGGTTAGGCAGTTTCAGGGTCCATATTAAAATCTCCTAATACAAGGGCAGAAGTTGGAGAAGAGAGGAAGTCAGTGAGCTGGACATTTTGTGCTTCGTCCCGCTCTGACAATCTGTATTGGCTCTATACAGTTCATGTCCTAAGGTCACTTCTTCAGTCTATAAATTTTATCTGTAAAAGTAAAGATGGTGGAGTAGATAACTTCCTAAAGGCTTCTTTCAACCTTGACATGCCATATTCCACATTCTATGTCCCAAGGTCCCTTCCAGAGATGACGTGCCATGCTCTGATAGTCTTCATTCTAGGCCCCAAGTTCTGCCACTGTAAAATAAAGCAAATGGGTTAGGTGATCTCCAGTTCTAACCTTCTGCCAATCCATGCATGAGGAGTCTGTCAACATGGCAAACAGCCTTGGCAATAACTGGGCCACCAGCTGTACCTCCTCACAAGCCTCTGCCAGGAAGGCTTAGGGACTTTCCGTGGCTTCAGAGTTGTCTTCTTCTTTTTTTTTTTTGGGTTAGGCAGTTGAGGTTAAGTGACTTGCTCAGGGTCAGACAGCTAGTAAGTGTCAAGTCTTTGGTCTGAGGCCACATTTGAACTCAGGTCCTCCTGACTTCAGGGCCAGTGCTCTATCCACTGCGCCATCTAGTGGCCCCAGAGAGTTGTCTTCTTTCTATGAAATTCTGCCTCTCTCCTTGGGGGTTTCTAAATTCAAAGACTAGTATTACAATAATCTAGCTGAACAGAGATGAGAGTCTAAGGAGGATTACTGCAGTGAGAGGGAAGGAGAGGAGTCAGGTGTATGAGATATTTCAGAGTTATTGCACTCCTTGGCAACTGACTGGATACATGGAGTGATTGGAGTTCAAGATGACTGAAGTTGGTGTGATGGTAAATTTTACTGAACTCCTTTTCTCCTTCCTTTTTATTTTTCATCATAAAGTATTGCTTTCTGCATTGAGAAGTGAGGGGAGCTACATTTGGAAATGAAGGTGATGTAAAAAAGAAAGAAAGATAGGAAGAAAGAAAAGAAAAATAACAGTAAGTTTAAAGATAAATTTCAAGCCCAGGGAGGGTGATCTTCAGAGAAGGCAAGTGGCAAGCAGTTATTGGAGCAGTGGGACACAGTTTTAACCAAGACTGGAATAGAAGGACACATTTCCCCGTGGCAGGAAATGCCATTGGGAGCCCTTTGTCAAGGAAGGGATGGCCATGGCCCATAGTGACAATAATTCCGCTGCCTTTGAGGTTTACAATGCACTTTCCCCCCACTATAATCTCCTGACATACGTAATCAATGAGTCTGTCAATAAACATTTATTAAGTGCCTAGCACAGTGCCAGGGATACAAAAAGAGGCAAAATACAATCCCTGTCTTCAAGGAGCACACAGTCTAATGGGGAGACAACAATTAAACAAATACGTACAAACAAGCTATATGGGAAAGAATTGAGAGAAGGCAGTAGGATTAAGAGGAGTTGGGAAGGGCTTCCTGTAAGAGATGGGGCTTTACTTGGGACATGAAGGAAGCCAGGGAGGCTAGCAGATGGAGAAGAGGGAACATTCATGCACGGGGAATGCCTAGACCCAAGATTTTTTTACTAGCACAGAAAGAAGGCCAGCGTCACTGCATTTAAGCGTGTGTATGGGAGAGGAAGGGGTAAAAAGACTGGAAGAGTGGTTGGGAGGGAGCGGCAGGACCAGCTTCTAAGGGCAAACAGAGGGATTTGTATTTGATCGTGGAGATGATAGGGCACTACTGGAGGTTATGGAGTGTGTGTGTGTGTGTGTGTGTGTGTGTGTGTGTGTGTGTGAGTGTGAGTGTGAGTGTGCGCGTGCGCGCGCGCGCTCTTGAGGCTGGCTGCTTTGGCTGCTGAATGGAGGATAGCTTGGAGTTGGTGGAGACTTAAGGCTGGTAGACCCACCAGAAGGCTACCATTTACATCGCACCTACTACGTGCCTGGCATCGTGCTAAGACCTTTAAATACTAGATCCTCACAACAACCTGAGAGGTAGGTGCTGTTACTATTGCATCACCATAGAGTCGCAGAGACTAGCGGCGGTTATTACTATTCTCCTCCAATAGCACCATGGTTGTTGTTCCCAATTCCGCCATGGTTATTATTACGATTCTTATTCTCTCTGCCATGGTTGTCCTCCTCCTCTCCTAATTCTGCCATTGTTGTTGTTGTTGTTATTATTACTGTTCTCTCCCAATAATACCATGGTCATCATTATTGTCCTCTCCCAATTCCACCATGGTTATTCTTCTCCTTCTCTCCCAGTCCCGCCTGGCCCCGCCCCTCGTGTCCCGCCCCCTAGTGACTCCGCCCCTCGGAGGTGGGGCCTGGGGAGGTCGGAGGGGACCCAGCGCGAAGACGCCCGCGCATGTCCGCTTACGGAAGGGGCGGAGCCTGAGGGCGGTCCGCGGAACAACGTCAACACGCAGACGGTTGGCCGTGCGTGACCCCGGCGGCCCGTGCTGCTTCCACGCCTCTGCTTCCTTCACCTCGTTCTCGGGGCTCTTTCCTACCTGGCGGACCCTGGGCCGGGCGAGCCCCGCTGGCCTTGTGTGATGCGCCCCGGCCCCGGCGGGCTCCTGGGTCCCGGTCCGTCCAGGGACAGGAGGGCCCGGGGACCGCCCGCCCCCGAGGAGTCATGACGGGACCAAAGGCCGCTCGCAGCCCTGCGTCCTCCCGGGCCCCGCCGCAGCCGCCGCCCGGAGCTCGGGCCCTGCCCCCGAGCCCCGCCTTCTGAGGCCGGGCAGCGACTGTGGATTCTGGGCCGTCGGGAAGCGGGCCGTGAGCTGGCGGCCTGGCCCTCCTCGGCTTCCGTCTGTCAGGTCTGTAGCGCCTCTCCGGGGAGCCCGACGAGGGACCGTGAGCCGGCCCTCCGTCCCTTCCTGGCGGTGGGGGGCAGGGACGGGCCACCTCGGGCAGGCCTCGCCCCCTTCCTCAGTGTCTTTTTCTGTGAGAAGAGGGCTTGGCCTTGGGTGACCTCGTGACCTCTGGAGCAGCAGGGGGCGGGGGTCGCGGCTCGCCCGGCCCTGGTCCCCACAGCCGGGGGCCGTCCTTCCCCCTCCCCCAGCTGTGGAGCCCCGCGCGTCTGCAGGGTGTCTGTGCCTTTACGCCTCGGTTCCTTTGGAGTGGAAGCCCCTTCAGGGCAGGGTCTGTCTGTGCATTCGTGTATCGCCTGGTTTAGCACCGAGCCGTAGTCTAGTGCAGCATAAATGCTTGTTGGGTGACCGCAACACCCTGGGGGAGGCAGCCAGTGCAGATTTATTATGCCCATTTTACAGATGAGGAAAGCCAAGTCCAGAGTCGGGCTCGTGGTGGCAGAATTAACAGATATCACCGTGGGGATTCGAACTCCCACCTTCCACTCACATCCCTTCCCTACTTTGTCCACCATGGGATGTCCCTTTCCAGTTTGACCAGGACAGAACACCGACCCTCGCTTAGCTTTGGTTTCCTCAGATGCAAAATAGGGATAACTGTACTAATAACAATCAGGTTGTTGGGAATAAAGTCCATTGTCAACTTTTAAGGGTTCTCTAATGGAATGGGCTGCCTCAGGAAAGAATGGAGGTCTTCAAGCAAAGCCCCTCTGAAAATCCGCGATGATGAGAACCGATTCTCTAAGGCTCTTAAGGACCTTCAGCGTTTTACTCTCTTCCTTTAGACTTGCTCCAGCCTGCCAGTTTCCTTCCTCAGATGGGGTCGCGACAACTAAATAGTTTTCTGGTTTGTCTTACCAGTTCTGTAGGACTATTTCCTTTCTAGTGCTATCTGGGTACTCTTTACCACTTTTAATACAGTCTGAGGCTCCACTAGTTTCATTTGCTGCCATGTCATACTTGATTCATACTAGACTTACAGTCTCCTGAAACTGTTTTTTTTAAAGGTTTATTGATGCCTTTTGTTTATACATTGCACAGTTATTTTCCCTTAAAGCCTCATACCTTTTTAAGACAAACCGTTATGCTCTTAACTCAGGTATAAGACGATATATATGTCTACTAAATATTATTTTTAAGACAAACCGTTATGCTCTTAACTCAGGTATAAGACGATATATATGTCTACTAAATATTATCTCATCAGATTTGTCTCATATCTAGCCTATTGAGATCTTTTTGAATCCTGATTCACTCAGTGTATTAGCTCACCCTCCTAGCTTTGTGTCAACTGAAAATCTGATAAACACGCTATCCCTTTCTTCATTCAGGTCATTGATTAAAAAATGTTGAACAGTTAAAAACTTTTAAGGGTTCTCCATCATGTACACGTATCTAACTCACATTTGAAACTTGAATATATAACCCCTTCCCAGCCAAAAACTATCTCGTTCTTCAGATTTTCTGATACGCACTTCCTCTCAGTCTTTCATTTGCTCAGCTCTGGTTGTATTTTGTAGCCCACTGGTATACTTGTTTTATTGTCCTCACACTCTAATTTGTAACCTCTTTGAGGTTAAGGATGGTGTCATCATGTCATTTTTGTATGCTGAACATCCAAGCAGTGCCTTGTACATGCTATGCACTTAATAAATATTTGTGAATTGAAATCTTGGTGGTGATAGGCCAGTCCAGGCTTCTAAATGACTATGGACTTGACATAGGGCTGCATGTAGAAAGATTGGGAATCAAACCCTCCTGCTTCTCACCCCTCCTTGTTCTCTGGTCATTGGAAAGTTGTTTACATTTTTTGCCAAACTCAGTGTGTCTTTTTCTCTGACATGGAGATAGTAATTCTTATACTGGTGTTAGGGAGCAAAACCCATTTAGAGGAATAAAAGGATGGTTTATGTGAAGAGTAATTTAGGTACAAATTCAAATTACACTCATAAACTACATTTATTTTTAAAGAATGAATTAAAGTTGAAATGCATTGCTGTGACCTGAATTAAAATGTTGACGTTGGCCATGCCCTTGTTGCAGGACATTGTAATAAAAATGGTTAAAGAAATGCATGTGGTGTTTATGGACCTTGAGTCCGAGCTTTTTATTCGCAGAATTGAGATTCAGAATTGTCACTAAGACCTAGTGCTTTCAAAGATTTGTGATTTTATTGTAGTAGCAATGAAATATTTAATAGTGTGCCTTGGGATTTTCCCCAGATGTTTACATGCAGAGTCCACATTTATTCCCTGGGGAGGGTAAACCTTTGAACTGAGCCTTTTGACATTTGCTCTTGGGAGTAAGGGGCAACCCAGGGTGACCTAGTTGGGTCACTGGAGGCAAAGAGATGATGGCTCATTTAACTGTGTGTTTTTGTTTTAAATTTTCATAGGTTTTAATCTAATTTGAAGATGAGTAAGTGGAAGAAGACTCCAGGTGATCAGGCAGGAGGCCTTGAAAAATTCAGTCCTGATGTTCTTACTACTGTTTCTGAACTCTTTGCCAAGAAGTTTTCCTATGGTAAACCACCCAATAATGAGTGGCAGTTACCAGATTCCAATGATGTTTTCACCTGTGATCATACAGAATTCAGTTCACTTCTTGTTTTGAAGAATTCCATGAATGAAGTAAAAAACTTATTGAGTGATAAAAACCTAGATGATTGGCATCAGCATACTTCCTTCACCAATAAAGCTGGAAAAATCATTCCTCACATGAGAAAGATTGTAAATGCGGAGCTTTGTACCCAGGCTTGGTGTAAATTCCATGAGGTATTGTGTAGCTTCCCACTTATTCCCCAAGAAGCTTTTCAAAATGGAGAGCTAAACTCAGTACACCTTTGTGAAGCTCCTGGTGCTTTTATAGCCAGTCTTAACCACTATTTAAGATCCCATAACATACCCTGTGATTGGAACTGGGTAGCCAACACCCTGAATCCTTACCATGAAGCAAATGATAACCTTATGATGATTATGGATGACCGACTTATTGCAAATACCTTGCCATGGTGGTACTTTGGTCCAGATAACACTGGTGATATCATGACCCTGAAACATTTGACTGGGATTCAGCATTTCATAAGCAACATGTCTCCTGTTCACCTGGTCACTGCAGATGGGAGTTTTGATTGTCAAGGAAATCCAGGTGAACAAGAAGCTTTAGTCTCTCCTTTGCATTACTGTGAAGTAGTCACTGCACTGATGACTCTTAGTAGTGGTGGCTCTTTTGTTTTGAAGATGTTCACCCTCTTTGAACATTGTTCTATCAACTTGATGTACCTGCTAAATTGTTCTTTTGAGGAGATTCATGTTTTCAAACCTGCTACTAGCAAAGCTGGGAACTCAGAAGTCTATGTGGTTTGTCTTTATTATCTGGGGAGAGAGGCCATCCATCCTCTGTTGACTAAAATGATGCAACATTTTGGAACTGAAATTATCAATAAAGCTCTTTTCCCCCAACATATAATTCCAGAATCTTTTCTCAAAAGGCATGAAGAATGCTGTGTCTTCTTTCACAAATATCAGTTGGAGACTATTTCTGAAAACATTCGTCTGTTTGAGTGCATAAGTGAAGTGGAACAAGCTAGGCTGAATAATTTAAGAGACTGTGCTGTGGAACACTTCATGCAAAAGTTCCAAATGAAACGCCTTTCCAGAAGTAATTGGCTAGTAAAGAAATCCCATATTGGGTGTAGTATGAATTCAAAGTGGTTCGGACAAAGAAACAGATATTTTAAAACCTATAATGAAAGAAAGATGCTAGAAGCACTTTCATGGGAAGATAAGATGGCCAATGGATACTTTAATCATTGGGCTGAAGAGCATGCTATAAGTAATGCTGGGAAAAATACTGTTTTAGAAAGTGTGTGCTCCAGTCTTGAATATCACTTGTGGTATGTCTTGGAAGGAATGAAATTACCAAAAGTAAAGTGCTCTCCTTTCTGTGATGGTGAGATTTTAAAGACTCTAAATGAAGCCATTGAAAAGTCATTAGGGGGTACCCCGAACTTGGATTCCACATTGAGACAAAAGCCACAGCGTTGCTATTCTTGCCATGTTCTTTCTGAAGAGCTGATTTTTTCTGAGTTGTTGAGCCTTACAAAATGCTCTCAGGATGAGTCAGCAGAAGGTCTCAGCAACAAAATCAAGTGTCTGGTAGTAGGTTTGTCTGCTCTTGATAACAAAATCTGTCAATCTGTGGAAGTGAGTCTTTTGGAGTCTGCTGAGCTTGCGGCTTTCCACTGTTCACTGCTTCACGATGGAGAACCTAGGTATCAGCAGGTATTTCTGGATTGCTTTCTGAGTTCCCTACCTCAGCTTCAGACAGGGGACACTTTGATCTTGCCTGTGCTGTCGTGTTTCACGAGGTTCATGGCTGGCATGGTCTTCGTTCTGCATAGCTGCTTCAGGTTCGTCACCTTTTCTTGTCCGACTTCCTTAGAGCCTCTGAGCACTTGTGCGGTCCTTCTGTGTGTTGGTTATCGGGGTCTCCCAGCCCCTGTGCTCCAGTACCTGCAGAATCTGAAGGAACTGATGAGCACATTGCTCAGCTGTGACTCTTCACATCAGGTTTTGCAGTTTGTGCCAATGGAAATTGTCCTTAATGGAACGCTGCTAGAATTTTTATGGGATTTAAACACTGCCATTGCAAAAAGGCAGTTGCATTTGATCATTCAAGGAGAGCAGCAGCAGAAGTCCACGCTGTAAAACTACAGGCAGAGCTCTTTACCTTGGCTGTGATTGCAGATTTCAAAATTCCTTTTCAACATAGTTTAAAACTGCAGGGATTTCGGTTTGGGGACAGCCCAGGTGTTTGCAACATTCAAAGTTTCTTCAGTTTCACAAAACTTCTAAGTTTTTGTAACCTCTAAGTAGACACCCATAAGTTTAAGGTTTTCTCAGCTATTGGAAAACTGACTAACATGAAATTCAACTGCTAGACTTGGAACTTTGGTGGCGGGGAGTGTGTGTGTGTGTGTGTAGGTTTGGAAGGGTAACTTTAGGGGCTTTGCCTGGGTGAATTCATCCAGATGAGTTGACTTCTTACTCATAACAGGCAAGATATATTAATCCTGTAGCACTAAATCTCATAGTTTAAAGACTGAACAGGGTAAAGGTGAGAGGAGATGAGTCACTTCTCAACAACTCTGTATTTCACCATTTCAGCTTTGCTCTTCAGGGAGCCATCTGGTCAGATTTCCTGGCGTGAAATAGCTTTAGGTAATAAATAGTCAACTTGCTCCATTATTCAGATATCTGTAGTTGACTTATAAATCCATTTTTGAGATGGGTATTTTGGAGTATTCTGACCAAAACTAACTAACTGAAATGTTATCAGGAATATTCGAACCAATAATCATGTTTGAAATGGAAAGGAAAGATTCGGTGTGCCTCATACACACTTCTGTATTAAAGACTTGTCAGTGGTGTGTTGAATTTTAGAAATGACCCTTCACAATCATTGAAATTCAGGATTTTTTTAGTGCAGATTTATGTATCTGTATATCTAGATATATAAATCCTCACATTGGGAACTTGGAAAATAGCATATGGGGAAGGGGAGTGAAGTCTTCTTGTGGGAAAGAATGATGGTTCAGTGGTAGAAATATTTTACTGTTGTAGCTATTTCAGTAGAGAACAACCTCATAAAAAGGTCACTTATGGAATAGTCAACTGAAATAACCAACACTGGGGAGTGTGGTAGGGGAAGGCTTTGCTAGTTCAGTTTGCTTTCTCTTGCACTGAATGTTAGGAAAAATAGGATTTTTGATGGAAAATACTGGACAAGTCAACGCTAGTTAGTAATTATGTGATCCCTGTGAATCAAGGAAGTTGAAGAATGTAATTTGGCATGTTCATTTAAGACATTTTTGTTGGCGTATTAAAAATAGATGCATGCTCTAATGGCTGAAGTAATTTGATAAATATTATTCTGCAGATTTTTCATGTTCTTGCCCTGCTATTTTGAGCTCCATTGTAGGTTTATGAATAAATCAGTAGCAGAGAGAAATTTTATTTTCATTTATTTAAGAATAAAAGAGGAAGTTTTAAAAATGTGACTCATGCAGACATTTTCCCTTTAAGCAAAGCTTTGGGGTGGTTTCACAGTGTTCTTTCATTTACTGTGGCCTAATTTGTAGTCATTAAAATGTAGACTCTAAGATTATAATTTATATGGAAGGACCAGCTCAGGAAAAGTGTTTTGCTGGAGAACAAAAGGAGTATGGATTTGATGTTGGTGTTTAGGAGATTATGTCACTGCTTGTCTGGTTGAGTTAGGTTTGTGAAGGAAACTAATATCCTGATTAATTGCCGGTCACCTTGTGGAAGCACTTTTTCTAATTGTAAAATAGGGGAGCCTGATAGGTAATTCATTAACAAGAGAATTAGAGACTGTTGGAAAATTATTTTGTCTGGCAGCTCTGTGTGTTGCAGTTTGTTTTTGCTACTTTATTAAGTTCTACTGTATTATTGATCAATGTGTGCTTTTTAAAAACCTTTGATTAGTCTGAAGCAGCATTGGGTAGTGGAGAGAGGGATGGCCTTGGGTCCAGGAAGACCCAGGGCTGACACCTGTGTGTCCCTAAGCAGCTTCCTTAATTGGTCATTACTCTTGGCAACTCTCTAGGGGGTCAGGCCAAATCTGGTCCACCACTAAGAATTGTTTTTATCTTCTTAAATACAGTAAAACTTTATTCAAAAATGTAAGAACCATTCTTAGCTCCCAGCTGTACAAAAGCAAGTGGGTTGGCTGACCCCTGCTCTAAGACCATAGGTTGCAGGAAAGGTGCCAACTTGCATTGGTGGGGGGAGTTTCTTTATTTGGGTGTTACCTGTGCCAGTGAAAGCTCAGGTTTAGTCCTTGTCCTGTCTCTTGAACAGTATGTGGTTGAAAACTGAATTCTAATATTCTTGATACTTAAAGGCACTTCAAAGAAGCTATTAAAAGCTTAGCTTTTTAATAAGCAGGAGTGGATCTTCTGTTTCCTCCTTCAGGCACTTTTCATCTAATTTATAGCATTTAAATTTACTCTGTAGTTGAGGCCATAAAGTTAAACGAGTTAGATGCAGATCTAGCTTCCAACAGTAGTTAGAAGTGATTTCAATAGAAAGAAAAAGGGTATCTCCAGAATGAGAAGAGGTAAGAAAGTAAGAAATCAGGTGTGTGGTATACAATGGATCAAAGGAGAGTTGTGACAAATTAGATAATGTCTATAAAGTGCTTTGCAAACCTTAAAACACTATGTAAATGTTAGCTGTTATATGGGGCTGAGTTTTTAAATTAGTTACTCTTAGTGTATTTTTTTGGAGAGTGGTTAGCAGACACAAAACTTCACAAATTTAATTTAGTTCCTCAGTAAATTCAAATTGAAAGGGAGCTGTTTGTGAATTTTGTTTCTCCATTATGTATTTATACTAAACTATGCTACTCCTAAGGGAAAAAAATAATTTTGGAACTTGTTGATTTTTTTCATGAATTAACATAATAGTACTTAGATGATTTAAGTGACATTAAATATTTTTCCTCAAATAAAAATCAGGAAATTATAATTTGTGTGTGTGTTATTGTTATATTTGGAGTGTATATGTTTTATTCTAATTTTTTAAATTCCAATTGGAATATTAATACTATGTTATTCTAGGTTTTTTAATTGTAAATCTTGATATGTAAGGAAAACTACTGAATGACAAAAGCAAAGAAAATGTATTTATTGATGTTATTATTTTGTTCATTTTTGATAAGCATAAGGAATTTAAAATTGTTTAAATACTTTTATCTCCAATATAATTAATTGAATATTTGTATTCTGATACATTGGGCATATGGGACATGAATTTTTGACTCATACTTTAAGAAATGGAAAGAATTTATAATTATAATCTGAATCAGATCTGTCGTTTCTGAGTATCCCCCTTTTCAGTTTTTAGCAGAATATGCACGTTTAAGTGCTCAGTTAGTTGATATAAAAAGGGCAACACTGAATTTATTTACAATTTTCTCTGCAATTTTCATGTCTGCTATGTTGAAATGCTATTTTTTAATGAAAAATTATCTTTGTAAATAAACAATTTTATTTAATTTACTGAAGCTTCTGGTTCTTTTTTTCCATTAGTTTTCATTTCTTATAAAACAAATTTTAAAAGTGTGGTAGCAAATATACTTTTGCTGTCTACATTTGAGAATTTCTTTCCATTCACTTCTCAAGGAGGCCAGAATTGGAACCTACTTTTGCATACAAAGCTTACTGAAAAAAAGAAAAAGTAACCAAAAATTACCAGTGGGTTTTCTCTAGTATGGTAAACTTGTTTCAAATCTTAAAGATTATAAAGCTTGACCTTTTCTGTACTTCACCTAAATACCTCTGCTTGAATCACGAAATTTTAGAAGTAGAAGGCACTTGGGCCACAGAATTAGTGGCACTTAGTAGATACCTGGAAGTAATTCCCTTTGTAATGCACTTGACACATGTTTGTCCAGTCTCTGCTCCATAGATCTCCAGTGAGGTGGGAACTACCATCTTCAAAAGCACCAGTATTGAAAGTGCATTTCGTTGCACTTTTGGACAATACCCGATTGTTAGGAAATTTTTCCTGATACTATGCCTAAATTTTCCTCTTTGCAGTTTGGTTTTCGTTTCTACCTTCTGGGGTCAAAACAGATCCAGTCCCTCTACCACATAACAACCCTTCAAATAAAGAGCGCAGTTATGTACTTATGTCTTTGCCTGTCTTCATTTCTCTTCCTCCTTCCTCGTCCCTCCCTTCCCCCCAGCCTTCCCTGTAACAGGTAAACACTCCTAATCCCTTTAACTGATGCTCTGAAGACATGAGGTGTTCAGCATCCTGGTGGTTCTCTCTGTGTTGTTAAGCTTATCAATGTCTTTCCTAAATTGTGACATCTGGAATTGAACACTATTGCAGATATGGTTTGACAAGGGAAGAATACTGAGAAGACTCACTTATTCCTAGAAACTGAGCTGTAATTAAATGCAGCTTAAAATTGAATTAGATTTCTCTATTATATTATACCACTACTGTGTTGAATGTGTAGTTCGCTAAATCCCCAGATCTTTTTTAAAGAAGCATTATTATTATTAATGTTATTCTAAACTTGACAAACTGTAACAAATCAAATGTGAGCTGAGAGCAGGACTGTTTTGCTTTTCTATGTATCCTTAGCATGTGGTACTATAACTGATGCATAGTGAAAATAAACATTAAATAAAGAACAGAAAAAGCATTGCATATAAATTCACATCAACTGTGTATAGCTTGCATTTAAAAAAAAAGTATGTAATAAAGTCAGTTTCAAAGCTGCCCTCCTTGTCTGTTTCTTAAACTTCAGTTCTGTGCTCTTAACACTGTTTTTACAATATGCTGATTCTGACCAGGACGTTCTGGTACCTCAGGTTTAGGATTAGAATAAAATGAAACATTCATGAACATTTAACAGTTACTTAGACATAAAATGGAAAGGATACTTACTGAACGAGGATATAGCTTTTATTCAGGCAAGCCTAGCCTCCTTCCTTCTTTATTAACGTGGAATGGTCCCTAGTCAGAAGCCTCATGTACTGGGGGGCCCTTTATTCACTCAGATAACCAGTTAACTAAGGTCAGTAGCCTGAGCCAGCTAAGTCCCAAGGACAGTTTCCATGACTTTAGAATGCAGCATTTACGGTAACACCTTACTTCTCCCATAGATGTGTGAGTAACTATTACTTTTGGTCTGGATTACTCACTGTAACCTGGTTTGACACTGGCAGGTCTAGCTTATCAGAGAAAGACCACCACCCCATGGTTACCCTCAGATTATCTCAGGGTACTGCTTTGCAGCAACCGATGTGTGTGTAGGGGATTAGTCTTTCTATTCACTGTAGTTCCTGAAAATCCACTGATTCATTTTCATCAGAACAAACCAACCACTCACAATAATAAGGGAAGGGAGGGGGAATAAGCAGTTGTAAGCAATTAACTCTGTGCCAGGCACTGTGCTGAATGCTTGACAAATATCTCAATAATGACACTTAAAAATTTTAAACCTACCCATTTACTTAGCAATAAGGCAAAAGAAACATCGCAGGAATGTATAGTAAACTAAATACAACAATAATAAATACATTACAACCGTGCATAAACCTGGGTAACATTTTTCGTCCAATATGTTCAGCTTCTGTGGAGGAAAGTGGTCATGCCCAGAAACCTGTCAAGGAAACACATGAGGGAGAAAAACCCATATTCTTGGGTTGACTTGCAGTTATGGGCTACAGGCTTTGATGTCATTGGTCCATTCAGGAGCATCTTATCTCGGGAAAGCATGTCTTTAGCAACTCTGTTGGTCCTCACTTCTCTCGGAGACAAAAGCTGTTCTTGAATTCAGCGCGGCATTTACAAGCTTTCAACTTACACTTTTGTTGGGGGGGAGGAAGGGTAATCTGGAGTTAAGTGACTTGCCTAGGGTCACACAGCTAGTAAGTATCTGAGGCCAGATTTGAACTCAGGTCCTCCTGATTCCAGGGCTCCTGCTTTATCCACTGTACCACCTAGCTGCCCACAATAATTTTTAAATTGGTGTTGAGAAAATATTATCTCTTAATTTGGGTAGCTCTTCCCTTGAAACCAGAGAACTGCAAAACTCCAGTTGACTCTTAGCAAGGCAAACGAGTCTACCCAGCTCTTTTCTCATCAGGATTCTGTTATATCCAATTAAATCTCTATCTCCTTCTATTAGCAGTTGAAAATCTCTCATACCCCTTTCTGGTTTTACCTTTCAAATTGAAGGGGTGAAGCAAAGAGCAACAATTACTTCTGAAATCCTTCATTTCTGTGAAGCCTTAGGAAGTGGTGTCAAATTCAGGTAGAAATGGGGCCATTAAAATGTGCCTAAAGATCCCTGCCCGAGGGCTCGTATTGACTTAGAAAATCACAGATTAACGTGTTTTATTTTTTTATTTTACATTTATTTAATTTTGTTTATTATTTATTTATGTTTGTATTTTGTTGAATATTTCCCAATTCAATTTTAATTTGGTTCTGGCCACATTTGGGAGTCCCAGGGCCCTTTCATTTGACAATGAGGTTGAAGCTGTCTCCACCCAATCAAGAATGATGGAGCCCAACCCTGTCAGCAGAATACTTTTGCCACAGCTCTCTTCGAACAGCTCCCAGAGCCTGCTTTTCATCCCCTGTTAAATTATCTTCTTTCAGGCTCTTTAATCTACTCCAAGAACAACTTATCAAACTCTTATGTCATATGTTTTCTTTTAAGTTTTATTTTTTTTAATTCTGAATTTAAACATCAAAAAAGAGCATTTTCATATACATGGCAGAACAGAAAGAGGATTGTATATGGAATTGAATCTCCATTTCAAATGAATGCTTCAAAAGAAAACCCAACAAACCCCAAACAAGGTCCTTATCCTGGAACTTTCTGATCGCCCTGGGGCTTTCTTGAGGGACTCCTTACTTACGGCTGCCTCTAGATACTGAGTTTTGCAGACTATACTCTCCTCTTTGATCATGCTGGTACTCACTTTGATTCAAGACCTTCCTTTCCTGTTACCAATAGGCTTCTTTCTACCTCCTTGCAATTCTGGGGTAGATGTCTCTTACTATAGTGAGGTTCGTCTGTTGCCCACTCCTCCCACCCCTTCCCTCCGTGTTTGTATGTTCTTACAAACCTCAATTAGGAGATAATAGCAAGTTCCATCTCCTTTCTTCTTTCTACACTAGGATTTTTTACCTTCTCTTCCCTTTACCTAGCTTTAAGCCCTCAGGAAAGAATCAAAACCACCTTCAGGTTTTCTTTTTTCTTATTTGACTCCTTTAATAGCAAAATAATAATATAATTTGAAGATAATAAAGTTTTAACGGAACCTGGTTTCTTTTCCCCCAATTAGAGTGTTGGCACTACATCATCGTATAACAGTCTTCCAATTGCTCTAATAAACTTGCCTTTCTAGATTTCTTTTGACTCATGTTAGTATTTGAAAGTCCCTACCCAGCTCTTTTTTTTTCCTTCTGAAATGATCATCTCTTTGATCAAAGATCACTTCTTATTCCTATATCTTTCAATGGCTTAAATAAGAGCTTTCTGGCTTTCAGCAACTCATCTTTCACTAAGAAAAAAAGTAATAACTTGACAATTTTCCCTTATGAAATCCACAGACTTAAAAAAAATCATCCTCCAGTCTCCATTTTTTACCCTTCATTTTTTGTTTTATCTTCATATCTTAAAGCAGTTATATGCAAATGAACTAGGGGACCGTAACGCTCATGATCTCTAAGTACTCAATGTGGTCCAACATCTAATTTGTGCTTTTGAAACTGTTCCTTCATATTAATATTTTGCAGTTTTTAAATAAAAGCATTTTTATTTTAAATTACTATTTTTGGATACAACAAAAAGTGCTTCTATGAGTATTTTTATACATGTGGATCCTTCACCTCTTTATTTGATCTTTTGGGGTACCTAGTAGTGGTATCACTGGATCAAGAGGCATGCCCTGTTTAATGACTTTTTGGTGATGTTTCTAAATTGCTTTCAGGGACCAGTTCGTAGCTTTATTAGTGGTGTATTAGCGTGCATTTCCTCCCACAGCCCGTCCAGCTATTGTCCTTTTCCTTTTTTGCCATCTTTACCGGACTGATGGCTGTGAAGCAAGTTAAATAAAACCCTTATTAATTGCTTACTATGTGCCCAAGGCTCTACCCCAGTAGCACACACTGGTGATACAAATTCAAACTAGCAAAACAGTTTCTGCTTCTTAAGGTGCTTAAAATCGAATGGGGGAAGATAGCATGTAATGGGAACTGGAAAGTGGGTCTGGCTTGAAGCTGGTGCCCAGGAGTTGAGATGGAGATTAGTTCCGTACTTAAAGTGAAAACTCATTTGTCAACGCTGAGGGATCTAGGGGAAGAATCCGAGGTTGGGGTGGGAGGGAGAGGAGGACGATAGCTGGAGTTGCTGTTGTTTTCTTATAATAGAAATTAAAGATTTTTGAGGTAGAGACTATTTCACTTTTGTCGTTGCAGAGCATAGCACAATGCTTGGCATACTGTAGGCAGTAAAAACTTGATTGATTGATG